AGCGGGCGGAGCAGGAGCGCGAGCAGCTGCAGCAGAGCCAGGCGGCCCTGAGCGCGCTCGAGAAGGCCAAAGCCCAGGAGCTCAAGGTAGGCGACGCCCGGAAAGTGCCAGCCTGAGCGGGGCCCCTCACGCGCCTCTGGTCCGTATCGCCAGGGCCACAGTCACCACCCAAGACCGGACCCTCTTCTCCTTTTCCCACACGAGAGAAGAGGCTCAGAGAGACCCAGGACCTTGCCGAAGGTCACACAGCCAATAAGGAGTGAAGCTGGGAAGCCGATTTCTTGTGCTGTGGCGCCCTTGACTACGCAAGAAGGATCCCTCCCCTGACCCCCCCACTTTCCACCCCCGAGGAGGCGTCCACCCCGGATGACTAAGTGTAGCCCGCAGTTCTCCAGGAAATATCACTCTCTTGCTATTGTCCGCACATCGCTCTGGGGGACGGATCGTCCCTGGGGACAACAGGACTGTTCCTAGCATCCCAGTTTTACACTTAGGAAGTAGGGTCCTTCATCGCGGAGAAGATCGGCCCCCAGAAAAGGAGCCCTCCTGATCATGAGCATCTGTGTTCCATGCCGACCACAGATCTTGTTTAGAAATAACTCCGAGAAGAGTTTTTACGGTTTATGTTCATATTAAAAACCAGTCGAATTTGCTTTCACCTCGAAGAGTGTGTTTATGCCCGCTGCACTCCCCCCTAACCGGAAAGGGGTTTATCCAGTCCCTTCTACCTGCTGGCCGCGTGCAGGGAAACTTTCCCGCGGCCCCTGAAGAGGGTTAGGGAAGGACAGGGAGCCGGGAGGGGACCAGGACAGGAGCGGCTGGGGGTGGGGGTCGGAGATGGCTGTCACTAAGTTCCTGCTAAGGCGCTGGGGGACCTGTTCGCTCCCTGGTGGGCTTCCTAAGGCCTCCGCCTTCTGCAGCTCCTTCCTGTACCACCAAAACCCGCCAGCGCGGCGTCCTCCAATGCTCTCTCCCTCCTACTCCCTCTACCAACAGACCGTCCAGTCCCGAAGCCTCTCCTGTGCCTGCTCCTGCTGACTCCCATGACTGAGGCTCTCCCACATCATTCAGAGTACTCTCCCACCCCCAGATTTTAAATTGAGTTTATTGGTACATGTTAGGGATACAGCACAGTTACATTCATTGTTGGGATCTTGTACCTTTACATGACAGGTCTTGGTTCTCATTTTTTCCCCTTGTCCCTGCCCTCCCTTCACCCCTCCTCCCCTCCCCGTTTACAAACACTTTAATTCATTTTCTCACATTTTTCTTTTCCCTTATTCCCCTTGCCCTACCCTTCCCACTTTCCCTACACCTTTAGCCCTTTCCTTCCCATTTCACAATGTCAGTTATCTCATTAGGATCTTATGTACTGTTACAGTTTATTCACACCAGAGAAACTATTTGGTGTTTACATACATGTGACTTACTTATCTCACTTAGGAGTCTATCCCCAATATGTATCCATTTTCCTATGAATGAGTCTAATTTCTCATTCTTTATGGCTGAGTAGTATTCCATTTTATAGAAAAACCACATCTTCTTTATCCAGTTTCCAACTGATCTTTAATTTAATCGTGCCTGCAAAGTCCCTTTGGCCAGGAAAGGTAACATATTCAGTTCCAGGAATTCAGACGCGAGCATCATTTCTTTCCCCACCACAGAAATCCGACAGGCAGGTGCCTCCATCCACCTGTCCAGGGGAAGATGTGAGATACCCACTCAGTGTTCCCGAGTGTTAAATCCACAGCCACACAGTTTGTCTGTCTGTCTTGCTCCTTTCTCTTGCACCTCCCGACACTACATTCCCAGGGAAAGAATTCTGTCTGGCTCACCTCGGAACAAGGGTTTACCACGGCTCAATGAGCTATGGGAGGGAGTGAGTCCGCATGGTACAAAACGGCTGCTACAGGCAGGTGATTACTGCAGCATCCCAGGTAGCTTAGTAAGCTTTCCACATGGAAGTAAGGAGTGCCCAATTTCATGCCTACTTCTTCCTGCTTCTACCCACAGGCCACAGAGGAGCGCTTGAAGAAGGAATCTAGTCACAGCCTCCAGATCCAACATCAGGCACACCAGCTGGAGCTCCAGGCCCTGGAGGAAAAGGCCTCACAGGAGCGGCAGGAAGAGCGGGAAAGGATGCAGGCACAGCAGGCGAGGCTGCTAGGTATCCGCTCTCCGCCCACTGCAGAGTGTGCACCCAGGGCAGACCCAGCAGGAGCAGGCTGGGCCCAGGGGCCAGAGTGATGGTCCCACTGTCCTGCCTCTCAGGGCCACTGTGTGGGTTAAATGAGATACTACACATCGAGTGCCCAGCACTGTCCATAGCCCAGGGGACACCGGCAGGGGTGGCCTCCACCTCTCATTTCCACTCTGAAGTTGTATAAATTGGGGAGCTTGGTCCCCCACAGTCCTCTTCTGCCTGGGCCTCACCATCCCCAGATGAATGCAGCCCCTCTGCCTTTACCACATCACACACCAACCTGGAAGTGTTTTTGAGAGGCTGAGGCAAGAGGACCACCAGTGTGAGGCCAGCGTGAGCTACACAGGGAGTCCTAGGTGAGACCCTGACCCTACCCATCCCCCAAATTAACAAACGTAAGATCTTTGGAGCCAAACCACCTGTATCTGAAGCCTGGCTCCACCACACACTAGCTGTGTGACCTTGGGCAAGTTGCTTGACTGCTCTGTGCCCCCTACCTGCCATCTGCAAAATAAAGACAAAGCATTGGCCCATTAGGGCTGCAGGCTTCTCCAGGACACTTCTGGCTTCAGTCTGAGCCCTAGTGGGTAGCATAGTATCTCCTGTCCCTGTGATCCACCTGCATCCGAACTGCAGGACCTTGTAAGGGTTTTGTCTTCTTAAGAGTGGACATGGGCTGGGGGTGCATGAGGCTCAGAGTCTGGACCGCTGCCTCATGGGCACAAGGCCCTGAGTTCAGGGCCCAGGACCTATTCCCCCTAAAAACCATTGACATCAACTTCAAGACTTCAGACTTGAGACCCCTCACCCTGGAAGGAAACCAGAGCTCACTGGAGAATTCCTGTGCTTCCTTTGGTTTTCCAGCTGCTCGCTGAGGACTTGGGCTGGGCTCCGGCTTCCAGCCCTCACTGGCCTCCATCCCAGATGACTGGCAGTGGCCATGCAGGCAGGGAGGACTGGACCCCGTGGCGCCATCCAGTGGCTGTGCAGCTCTAGGCACCCCATCCCCCCTGATCCTCACCTTAAAACGCAGTGTGGCTGGTGAGGTCTGGAGGGTGACGGGCAGATGAGAACACTTCTTTCCATGGTAGTGGGGACAGAACCCAGACCTTCACACTGAACTACATCCCCAGCACTTTATTTGCTATTTTGAGACAAATTCCCCAGGCTGGACTGAAATTTAGGATCCTCCTGCCTCATCCTCCCAGAGTGCTGGGATTGCAGGCGTGCACCACCTCACCCAGTGGAGAACACCTTTCAGAGGGTTTAGTGTACTGTAGCACTCAGTACTCGTGTGTTTCTGTTATCTTGGGGTAAGCCTGGGCAACACAAAGCAGAGCTTCCCGTCCACCGCAGCCCATAGTCCGTCCCCGCAGGACGTGCAGCCCTGACCTTGGCCTTCTGGCTCTTCCTCCTTCAGAGTCCCTCAGGCAGGAGCTGTCAGAGCAGCGAGCTGCCTGCTCCGGGCACCAGAAGGACTTGGAGGCGCTGCGCAGCGTGGGCAGACTGCAGGCCACCATGCTGTGTCCAGGGGACAGCGAGGACCGCGCAGTCACCTCGGAGGTTAGTCCCCCCCCAGCGGCTCTATAAAGGCGGGGCCCTGGTATTAGGTCCATCCCCTGCCTCCCATCAGCGACCCACACACTTTGCCCTCGGCCTTTGCCCTTTCTGTCCCCGACCCCTGCTAGCCAGGTGGCACAGTGACCTCCCAACAGCCCAGCGTCTCTGCAGAAAGCCGTCCAGCTCCCACTGGAGTAAGCTCCACACGTCCCAACCCGGCACGGAGACGCCTGCGCGCCCAGCCATACCCTCCCGGCCTGGTCCTTTTGGGGCGCTGGAGGTGGCACCGGAGCGGCCCGGGCGAAGCCGCGGAGGGATCGCTAGTTTGGAGCGAGCTCCTAGCCTGGCTCGCCGACTCTGTTCAGTTCCTTTCGGCCCCTTCCCAGAGGGCGAAAGCTGGAAA